CAGTTCGAGGTGGAAAAGTAAGGGGTCAGATAGGGTATATTCTTTCATATATGATTTGCATTAACAAGTTCATTAAAAAAAAGTTTTTAAAGTTTGTAAGATATTTTAAAATAATTTTTTATGACTTAAAATATAGTCAGTCTGTCCAAATATTGTATTAATATTTTTTTTTTAAAGTATCTCATGATAAATTTCTAATAATTGTCTATTTAAAATATAATCCTAAGGCTCTCCAGTTCCATTACAAGTCCATCAAACCCTAACTTTTACCTATGTCCTGTCTACCAATACACCTGCTCCACCTTCTCATTAACCACCCAACCTTTCCGCTCACCTAAGCCACCCCGCCACCACCTTTCCTCCCCTGCTACCGGTTCAAAAACTTTTTCCATTTTTTCAAATTGCGTAATTTTCATTAGTTTGCTGCTTTTGCAGACAAATTAAGAGCCTCTGCCGCTGTCCTGCCCAGGACTCTCTGCACTGTACTTCACCTCCTCCACCTCTGGCCTCCCTCTTTGCCGAGTGCATCCTAACCAAAGTGCGTATCTGCGAGATACGCATCCACATTTAGCTGCCTGCAGGACCAACCCGATGTGATGTGGTTTTTCAATTTCTCTCTTGGTTTTTTTTTAGCCTTTTTGTACGCAAATAATTGTGAATTTTTCCCCTCTACCAAAGCGGGTTATTGTTTGGTTTGGTTGCGAATCCTCGTTTTTATTTATTTTCTTTTTTTTGCTATGGCTGAGTATACATATTTTTTATTTTTAATTAAAAGCGGAAGTAAAAGCTGGGGCGGCATGGCCAAAAGGGGGGTTTTATGGTTAGAATTGGTTCGGTTCGTTTGGGTTTGGTTGGGTTTGGCGACTTGTCAAGTATGCGTGTGCACTGGGAGAAATAAATAGATGAATGATGATGGGTATTTCTTCCTTTGAATTATTGTTTTTTAAACATATTTTCAAGAAATATTAAGCTGGAAAAATTGTAGTAAGATAAGTTTATATTTTAGAAAAAAAAGTAAAGAAAAATTAATCTTGACATTTGTATTTTCATATATAATAATTTATACTTTCATAAATGTATTTTTTTCTCACAGTGTTCCTGCCTTAGCTTGGCACTTTGGCCCGTTCATTTTGCAGTGTAGTGTTTTGCTAACAATGCGAATTTCAGGGCATTGTTGCAGCTCCCCCCCCATACGGCAACCCCTCTCAGCATTCCCTCACAGCATCCCCTAACCTACGCACACAGGGAAACGCATCAAATCATCAGCGGCGATTTCAGACAGTCATCCGATGAAATGTCAAATGCGTTTCCCTCACACACACACACACACACGGCCAAGTGGGCTAACGCAAACATATACTGTCTCCTGGCTACTGGTAATGCCAACTGCTAACTGGTAGCTGGTTACTGCTGCCACCGCTTAGAGCGGCACAAACTAAACCAAACTCAACAACAATAAAAACATGGCAACAATTCACCAGCTGAAGGGTTTTTCAAATAACGAAAAAAAATAGAAACGCTGGAAAAATGAGGGGTTGGGAGTAGAGCAGCGGAAAAAGGGAAAAGTCAGGCGAAAAAAAAACGGAATCGAGAAAATTAAAACAAAACAAACAGAAAAACGCATCCTCGAACGAGGTCTCATCCGGGGATGCAGAGGGAGAAATATGGGGCTACAAAAATATAAATAATTAATAATAAAATTAGTTGATAAGCAGGAAATTAGGAAAAGTATTACATAGATTTTAAATTAATGAAAAATGTGTAAGAACTTAGAAGGTCTTTAAGTAGAACCTGCTTTAGTCTGTCGTTAATTTAGTGATACTTATATAGGGATAGAAGGATGTTCTTCATTTATATAATAAATACTAATAATAATAAAAAATATATAAACTAACTTAATAAAGACTTAAGTAGGTCATCAACAAAAGTACCATCATACTTCCTTTCAAATTGTCCTTCATATTTCTTAATAATTACTAAGGAATTTCCTCTAATCGTAGCTCAAATTCTATTACATCCTAAGGATCTTTATCTGAAATTTAGCTTAATGTAAAGTCACTATAATATACTTTCTTTTTAAAAAAATATATTTTCCCTTAGTGTACTCCTGAATCCTGCATCATCCTTTGGCCGTTATGCCAGCTCTCTCACTCTGTTCCACGTTCCACGCATGAGGAGATTTCGGTTTAGCTTTTGATTGACGAACTTGGCTCGTTGTTTGTGCCACCATCCTCTTCAATCCGTGTGCCCCATCCTCTCAATCCTGCCATACGCTGCCGCTTTTCACTCAAACTCATCAACGTCAGCGACGCATTCAAATCGTTTTGATGGACTTCTCAGCCTTATCCCCTCATTCCATCATCACTGCCTACGCAGTGCATCCTGGCGCAAGAACAAAACAGCAACGAAAACAAAAAAATGAATCGAGAAATGGGTAAAAAAACAAAACGTGGAATGAGTCTGGCACAATATTTGTATTTTACGCAATTTTTACTGACGACGACGACGACGACTGCCATCATGTTTGAGTGACTGAGCGAGGGAGTTGGCTCCATTTTCTGCCACAGTAGCAACTGATGCCTGATTTGCAAACCGATTTGCTACATTGTTCATGTCAGTCAGCGCATTGTTGATTATCAGTATCAGTTGTCCTGGATATGGGTTTGGGGCATCCTCACCTCCCCTCGGATATGTTTGCCCAGCTATTCATTGTGTTTTGGTTTTTTCACATTTTTTGCTGATTGAAAGTTTGTGCGACAATTGTTGCGGTTATAGGAAATGGTCCAGAGTCTAATTAAACAAAATGCAAGCCAGGCATAAATGTTGCAGAAATATTTGTAGAGTGGGGGGAATAGGGGTGTGGCTATTAACTCATTATTCAAGGATTTGCATAGAGGATTTTTTATTAATTTTCAATGTGCAATGTTCTATTATTGGTATTTTCCTAGGAGTCTTTCAAATATTTTAGGAAATTAATAATAGTTTTATATTTAATGTTACAATGCAGTAATTATTTTATAGGCCTAAACTAAAAATCTTAAAATTCTTAATAAACCTTCATAATCTTCCCCTTAAAATTCCTAATAAATCTTTAAACGCTTTCCACTGCAACACCTTTTCACACTTAATTTGCCCTTAAAATATGCCCAGTGGCAGGGAGAACAACAGCCTCCAGGATTCGTTGCAATTAAATTAGCCAGATGAAAGTTGGCCAGCTTGTGGCAGTGATGATGTTCTGTTCTGGGGGCATAAACTGTTGCCAAAAAGTTTTAAGCTGCGTTTGAGGCTGCTTGCCTTCGCTCCCGAAACACAGAACTTTGACGAGGAAAGTTTCGAGTGGCGCTTGTCTTGTTTCATCTGCTCTCTGGGCCATAATCCGGTGACGTCAACTGTGGTTAGCCCCGGAATCCCCCTCGGATGTAAATGAGACCAATGAGACCGGTTACGCAAAAGTTTTTGCATATTTTCCCATCAGATATTTCGGTCACTTTTGGGTGTAAACTACACTGCCAAACTTGTTGAATGTGTGGCTAAAGGACCATTTAGCTCGTTGTGTCCTGGTGGTCGGTTTTCGGGTTTACATGCCTCTTGTGTGTGTGTGGGCATTTGAATGGGATTTTGATAACTAAAAGCACACTTGTTTAGTGTCAATTTCATTTAATTAGGTTGGATATTATACCGAAAAGGGAAAGATACCACAGATTGTGGAATACCACTTTGTGTTTGAATAAGTGCACACTTTTTAAGTTAGCCCTAAATAGTACTTTAATCATTATAAAAACACTAATAACATTTGTTTAAAATAAAGAAAACCATACATTTATTTGGCACTAAACACTACAGTAGAGTCTTGAATCCTAAAGTTTTATTTAGGGAATTTTCCACAGCTTTTCTCGTCTGAAATCTTGTCAAGTCATCTCTAACCCACTTGGTTTTTCTGTTATACAAAGATCGTAAAACGAGCATAACAAGAAATGAATAAAAGTGATCTCTGAGAGCACTAGAGCTAACAAAATTCATGGAATTATGTAAACAAATCACGCTCAACGAGTTTGTTTCAAACTTTGACTCTCCCTCAATTATTGTGCCAGTTTAGCATTCCATCAATCAAGTTATGTAGATCTTGAAATACTAAATTTAATTTTTTATCTGCGGTTTATTTTCTGTTTGTATTTTAACAAATTATTTCGCGGAAATCTTATTATTACCTGGCATGACATAATCTTTAATTTCATTAGAAATAAAGTGAAACTAATTGTGATGACACACTGTAGCAGGTATATAAAGGTTTCCTATAATGTTTTCCTATTTCAAGATCTGATTAAGTGGAGTAACATCGTTTGAAACTGTTCCTTGAGCCTCGTGCAGGAGGAGAATGTGGTTGTGCTTTGGGTTTTTACAATTAGAAAGAGTTGTGACCTACTTTTCTAAGGCTTAAATTATTTGGGAAAGTTGCTACTCAAAGGATACGATTATAACATTTTAAAGACTTATAAAAGCTTTTTCCTATCAGGATTCGGTTTCCCATGGAGAAGAACTTCCCCAAGTGCCTCAACTCAAGCGATTCCTTGGAAGCAAACAAAAATACTTAAATTACTGAAATGCATTTATGATAAACCAAATGTTAGCTTATTGTTTTTATTACTTACAACAAATTAATAAATTATTATTAATTAATTTCACTAATTTAATTCATTATCATTTCCTTGAAATACTTAAATTCTCAGTGAATTGTTTCATAGGAATTCCTGCCTCGCCTCGAACTTACCTGAAACGAGTGGCTCACCTCTCCGCTTGGCGGAAACAAATCAATAACATAAATGTATATTTGTGGGTGTCTAGAATAGATGGCAGAGTCATCAAATTGAAAATAAAACCTGTTTTGAGAGAACTCACGACCTGGGGGATGGGGGAGATTGGAGGATTAAGCACCTCGAACCGAAACGCGACTATAATTACTAAAGAGCCCCTGCCTTTAAATCAGTTGTGGCGACCCATTTGACTGGTGAGCATCGCATCGTTTGTGTGTGAAATGAGTTCGACACTGAACTTCAGCCAGGTGCTGCTCCTGGTGCTGCCGCTCTGCCTGCTGTCTACGGTCTTGGCCAGCAGCCGAATCAATGACAGAAAGTCACCCAACGAGGTCAGTCTCTACAGCGAGTCGGACAATGTGAAAATGCTGGACAGTGAGTCACTGAGAAAGGCACTCGAAATGGATGGCGACAAAAGCAAGCTGGTGCAGTTCCTCAACACCTTTTGCGGCGACTGCCAACGCTTTGCCCCGATCTTCAAGGGCCTGGCCCGTGACCTGTACAAGTGGAACTCTATCCTCCGGATCTATGGCGTGGACTGTGCCCAGGAGAGGAATGTGGACGTGTGTCGGGAGTTTGACATCCGTCAGACGCCCACATTGCGTTACTTTGCCTTGGACTCCTACAAACACAATCATAGCCTGGGCTTGGATATACCCAGCCAGGATCCCCAGGTAATAACCACAACGCTGGCCGACTTTATATCCCGCAATGAGCAGCCAAACTTTGCACCCCTGAAGAAGGATGATAATGCGGAGACTCTCTTTAAGAGGCACATAGCTCTTGGTTCTCCAGTGCAGTTCATTGCTCTGGTGTTTCAGCCTAAGGATTCCCTGATAGGCAGGGACACGCTGCTGGAACTCTTGCCTTACAAAGAGCTGGAGGTGCGTATTGTAGAGGATCCTGCTGTGTTTGCCAACTTTGGCCTGAAGGACACCTCCCTAAAGTTGGCCATCATTGATCATGAAGGAAAAGCCAAGAGTCTGACAAGCGCCGAGGATACAAGTAAAGCCTATGCCGCTGTTCTGGGGGAGTACCTTCAGTCTCTCAATTACCAACCAGAGCCACCACTACCTATCGTCGAGGCTTCGAATATGACTGAGTTCTTGGATCAACAGAATCAGGCCATCATAACGGAGGTGCTGAAGCCACCAAGGCGAGTCTATCGAGCCGATCTGGAGCAGGCCATCGACAAACTTCTCCACATCGAGCTACCCAAGCCGCCGTTCCTCGAGGGCAATAACTTGACCGCCCTGAAGAATATCATTACCGTGGTCAGTTACCTCAATCCATTGAATAAGGATGGTCAGCAGCTGCTGAAAAACCTCCGAGGTTCCCTGAGCAAGGCCAAGACCATGACAGGAGTTCAGTTAGCCGAAACAGTAGAATCCCTGGAGAAGCCACTGAAGAAAATATTCAAGGCAAGGCGTTACGTTGGCTGCATTGCCTCGCGTCCCTTCCTGCGCGGATTCACCTGCTCGCTGTGGACACTTTTCCACTTCCTCACCGTGGAGGCGGCCAAGCCGCCGTACTACTTTAAGCCTGGCTCTGTCCTCTTGACCATTCATGGTTTTGCCAAGTACTTCTTTGGCTGTTCGGACTGCTCGAGGCACTTCCAGGAGATGGCCAAGCGGCGACGCCTGGCTTCGGTCAAGAGCCACGACGAGGAGATCCTCTGGCTGTGGGAGGCCCACAATGAGGTCAATCAGCGAGTGGCCAGTGACTCCACCGAGGATCCAAAGTTTCCCAAGTTGCAGTTTCCCAGCGAAGAGGATTGCCCCACCTGCCGGTCCAGCAACAATAGCTCCGAGTGGCAGAGGGAAGAGGTGCTCAAGTATTTGAAAACGATCTACGATAGAGGGAACCTGAGCTTTTATGGTCTTCCCACTGCTCAGGGATATAATTGAATAATCCTTGGATAATTATTCTTACTTAGCGTTTAATATTTACGATATTTGTAAGCGTTTTTGCACTTTTTTAAAGTTCTTACTAAATAAAATGTATCTTTAACATACAGAAAGTAGAATTAATACCATAAAATCATAATCATTACCCTAAAATGTCTGAACAGAATCGAAATTTCACATCAATTCGCATCGGTTACATTATTAATATAACCCTTTAAAAACTGCCTTCACTTTAGCTTTTGAAGAGAGTCATCTGGAGATGGAACTATACCGAAAGACCCTAACTTCAGCCACATGGTGGTCACTGGTGATCTTCAACCTACTCACCTTTAGCTCTTGCAAAAATCAACCCGAGTCCACAGTTCCCTCTTGGAAGATAAAACTCATTGCTAATAGTACTTCGCATGTGACATATTTGGTCGACTTAGAACGGGCTATCGATCATATTCTCAGAGTTCAACTTGTGCAGGTGCCAGTTTTCAAAGGGAAAGAACTGATTGTTCTGCAGAATATTATGGCTCTCCTGGACAACTTTAATCCCCTCTACAAATACAAAAAAGGAAAAGCCAATATAAAAAATATAAATAGGTTTATAAAATCCCAAACAGAGGTATCACAAGAATATTTTAAGGGTTTAGCTAATGACGATGAGTTTGCAACAGAAAACTACATAGGAGACGACTACATTGGCTGCTTAGGTTCTCAGTCCGGATTGCGGGGCTTCAACTGTTCCCTCTGGAATCTATTCCACTATTGGACAGTGCAATCATCCTTTTCTCCGGAACTCTTTCAGCCCGGAGCTGTTCTTTGGACACTTCATGGATATGTCCACCACTTTATGAATTGCTCAGAGTGCTATCTAAATTTCTGGTTCTACGTTCAGGAACATCAGATCGAGGATGTGAAGACCCATGACGAGGAGATCCTCTGGCTGTGGAGAGCCCACAATTACTTCAATAGGAAATTGGCTGGTGATGTCACTGAGGATCCATGGTTCCCTAAAAAGCAGTTTCCAGAGGATAAATATTGCCGGAAATGTCGTTGGAAGGGAAAATGGCAAAATGATAAAGTGCTGAAATATCTGAAAAATATTTATAGTTCGATTTCGGAAGTGGTTGGATTAATAAACAAAGAAGAAGAGCCATGATTTTGATTTCATCGATCTTACTGATCCATTATTTAAGGAGAAAAATATTCGCTAAAGCTTAAATAACAAGTATTTGAAATACATACTTGTAATATATTTTACATATAAATGTAAAATGTCTTTTAATTATTTTAACAAAAGGGTTTTGGGTCTCCAAAGAAAGACAGTTGGGTTGCCAACTGGTTTCGATTAATTATCCTTTAAGGTTAAACATCATTATCGAAGGACTTGTAATGTTAAATAATCGTAAAGATAATGATATAAATTCAAAACAAAAAACAATCTCTTCCACTTACCTCTTCCTCAGGGAATTATTACAAGTACAGAAAGGCTCCCTAGCTCCCCAATATCAACCTGAAAATTGCATAAATCTACTAAATTAAGTGTTTATATCAAGTGAAGCGTCAATAGGTAAAAGGAAACCCCCTGTAAACCCCCAACCCCAATCCCAATTTCCAGCCATTGGTCAAGTCAACTGACCTGTTCTAAGGCAACACGGCACTCGTATTACAGCGATTACCCGCACATCAAACTGAACCGAACCAAACTGAATTATTTATAGAACATTTTTGCAAAATATCTACGCACTAATTTGCGTAAAGTAATCGATGTGGTGGAAAAATTTTCACGCATGCACACGGCTGATGGGGGGGCGGTGGGAGCGGGGGCACTTCAGGTGGTTCGGTCCCATGCCCAAATAGGCAACCGCAACGGCAAAACGGAAGCTAAAAATTACCCGGGTAGGTATAGGTATCGGCCCCCCACCCTCTGACCATTGAAAACGCCCACAAAACTTGCTTCTTCATTGTGCGTAAATTGGAACCCCTCAAAGGCACCGCATAAAAAGAGTTAACGCATTCTGCCCTTACGTAATGATGTGTATGTAAAATTTATAATATACATAAATAAATAAAATGTACGCAGTTTGGGATTGGGATTTGTGGGCGTTGCTGCACAGTTTATCGATATTTTTGCTCACCCCTCACTCCCCACCCTGGCGAAGGAGAGCCTTGAGTGAGCAAATTTACAGCACAACTGTACTTTTTGCGGGGATTTTTGTGCGTGCCTTTGGCGCCTTGGAAAAGTTGAAGGTTCCGCGAATAGTTCTTGGCAGGCAGTAAATTTTCGACCATATCTTTGCCGCCGGAAACCGGAAACCAGGGCCTATTCGTACGCTTTTTGCACTGCCATTTCCATTCCATTCGTCTTTCCCAAAACGCGTTGCGTAAAGTGCGTGAAATATGGACAAAATCTATGGTGTATGGCGGACCTCTCTAATAGCAAACGGATATTGTGGCTTTTTGTCTTGTGAATCGCCCCAAGGGGATCGGATCCTTGCCACTGCGAGTAACAGCAGCAGAGGAAGTGCTCTAATTGGGGCCCAAAAGATTTGCATAACGTAATTGCCAGGTCGGGCAGAGCGAGAGGAGATCTTGGCATGACTGACTCGGGGCTGGGCGTGCATTAACCAAAAACAATAACCCCGGCCCAGAATTATGCACAAATTATTGTTTAGGCATTTAAATTGCCGCTACTGTTGCGGCGATGAAAAAATGCTAAACACAAAATATTACAGAAAAAAAAGAGTACGAGAAATGAAAACAATAAAATGGCAGCTGAAGAAGCATCATCAGCGCAGCAGCGGCTCTGGAGGTAGCTCGTTGTTATAATTATGTAAAAACAGTCTAAAAGATTGACTTGACTTCTATAGCCACTCAGAAATACACTGAGAAAATGGGGAATTGATTAAATTAATCAAATTGTATTTATTGATTTTTTTAAATTAATTTTTGGTAGGGTTTAAAAGAGATTTAAAGGAACTTTTCTTGTTTGAGTTATATTACAAAAAATTCTAGCTTTCCTTTGTTTTATTTTTGTAATAATTTTTAAGAAATTTAGAATTTCTGTTTATAAAAATTTCTTTAAAAGAAAAAATATCCCTTTTGCTGAAAATATTCTATTTATATTTAATATAATTTTTTTATATACAAAAAAAGGCAAAAATATAAGATTATATAAAATAAAAATGAACATTACCCATTTTAGTTGCCATAATTTCTCTCTCTGCATACACACACTCTCACACAACGGTGTGTGCATGCAAAGGCAACATAAATTTAGGGGGAAAAGGTTGAGGGGAGTAGCTTTACAACAACAACCTGGTAATTATCAGGCCTTAGCGGCAAAGCAACATTGTCTGTGTATCTTGGCTGCGTTCGCTAACCGCTTCTCCCTCCTCCTCCTCCTACCACCCTCTTAGCCCCCCTTCCTCACCCCTATCCCCTAAACCCTTCACACGCAAAAAATGTAAAGTGAAAATATTTTTTAAGGCACTTGTAGTAGGACAGAGGTGCAGGTGGAGTGGCAGAGAACGCGGTACCATCAAATGGGTGGCTCCCATTTTTGCCGTTGGCTTACAGCTATAACTCCCCCCAACCATGTTCTAAGCGACGAACTTGAGCAGTTTCTATATAGCTATATATAATTAAAAATAATAGAATTAAAAAAAAAAAAAAAAAAAAAAACAAACAAAAGCCACACAACCAGGGAGATTTTTCAGGAAAGATTTTTCAAAGAAGTAGCAGGAAGCTATTATAAGATAATAGCTTTTTTGGTAAGAAAAAAACTAGTATAATAAGCAAAAATAATAAATTAAATATTAAATAATACATAAGAAATATACAAAAAATTAAAAAAGTATTCTTTTGGTTCTTGGAAATAATTATTAAAAATTATCTGGTGTATAAGAGACTCCTTTAGCTTAATAATTTAATGTTTTCAGTGTATTATTTTGTGTATTATTGTCTTATCTTAATAATTACGGTAATCTGTTTAGAATTTTAATTATTTTTCCAGTACTTTTTACCTTTTTTGGGCTAAAATGTAGCTAATCTGGTCACTAAAAATAGGGTACCAAATTCATCAAACGGAATGCAATTGGGCAACAATTTTCCCAAAGTTTTTTGCCACAGCCTGCTGTTGCTGATGATGCCTCCCCCTTCTGGCTGCCACACCCCCTCCCTCTAAAGGCCACAAGCTGCGGCAGCGCGTAATTAAAACAATTTGTGCATAATTTTTGTACAAGTGCAGTGCCCAAAGCCGAACCCAAGGCTCCATGAGACCCCCCTTCCTCGGGTTGGGCTTTTAAATAATAATTTGCTTAGTTTATGAAGTGCCCAAGTGTGTGCGTGCCTGCGTGTGTGTGTGTGTGTTTGTGTGTCTGAGTGGGTGAGCTACATAAACAGTTCTGCTGCCGCCTCCTCCTCCTCCCCCTTTGCACACAATTTACTCACTTGGTTGCATTTTAACATATTTCGTTACGTTTCCAGCCAGGCCCAGAGTCAATTGTTGCTGTTTTTTCATGTATTTCTTTCTTTTTTTTTTTTTTTGTTCGACGGAGTATTATGCCGTGTTTTTGTTGTAGGTTTAATTTGTTTGAGTTTCATGCAACTGCAGCAACCGCTTCTGTTGTGAATTTCATGTGCATCTGCCGCGCTGTAACTGCCTTCTTTCTCCCAAGTCAAAAAATATTTGTGCACGCAAAAAATGTTAATTGCCAGAGAAGTAGCAACAGCAGCAGCAGCAGCAGCAACATCATCAGCAAAAAGCGAACCATCAATGTGGCAGGGGCATTAAAATATTTAGGTTGCTATTGCCACTGCTCCCAGCCGCTCTCTTCCCAAGCCTCAAACCCACAGGCCCTGCCTCAAACTCCGACTCCAAGTCAGAACCTGGCTAAAATGCAGCCTCTCCTTGCCTCTGCCAACCCGTTGGCAGAACGTTAATGCGACTGCAACTGTAACAAATTGCAATGTCGCACATCTGTCTTCCCTGGCGTTTGTCGCTGCCTAAAAAAGTTTGGAAAAAAATGGAAGCTGGCAGAAATTACGGAACACTTGATACTCTTTGTAAGGAAAATATAAAGAAAAGGTACAAGGATTTGTAAGGATTTGTATTTATCAGTCCGGATTCTTTCTTTCTCTTACTAAGAAACCCCTTTAAGAATGTATGATTAACTTAATAGTAAATACTAAACCATAAACGGGTTATAATTACCTAATTTTTTTATTAATCATCAAATAAAGTAAAAATCTTAATCTTTATCCTAACAAAAATACCCCAAAAGGTAAGGGTATAACAGCCATACAAAAAACCTACTAAAAGCCAGATCCCAGAGATTGAGAGAGATAGGAAACCCTAAGCCAGAGGTCCAGAGCCGTGGACTCATATTTATTTTTGCTAAAAACTACTCAAACACGAAAAAAATTGTCGTTGTTCTCCTGACATTTGTTTTTATCTTTTTTGTTTTTGTGGCTATTGCAATTTCAGTGCTTGTTGTTGCTGGCATTGGCATTGGCAATGCCAATTACCGGCGACCGGGAACCCTAGCAATTTGGCCATATCCGGCCCCTTGGCTCCGATGCTGGCTGGCTGGCGCTGGGCCGAAAGGAAAAATCAGGTTTTTCCTTGCCTTACTTGAGCTTGATTTTCACTACAATATTTTTTAGTTTTTTGCCCGTGATTTGGTGGTCTCCCCTCTTGATTTTCCTGTTCCCATTTGATTTTCTTTTTTAAATTTAAATTTAAAGATCGTTTAAAAATGATGGAAAACTGATTCAATTTGCCAAGGGAAAAGTACAGAATTTGTTATGATTTTTATGTTTATGGGGGCCAGAAAATCAAGCGTATTTAGCCAAGACACCTTGGCAGTCATTAGCCACATTTAGTTGCCTGATGATCATGGCTTTTACTGTAGCTCCTCGTCGTTCCTAGTTTTGCTAGCTTCGTTTTTTTTTTTTTTGTATTTTTTTGCAACTAATGAATATGGAACTTGAGTCTCTTGTCATGTTGCGGCTGCGGCTATTACAAGATTTGAGTTGTCGCGCGTTTTGGACGCGTCATGCGGCCAGTTTCTTTATTTATTTACTTTTTTCTTTTACTGATTTTTTTTCTTTTTTTTTTTTGTGCCACACATTGCCGCACGATCCCGAGTTGGCAAA